CTTCTGGCTTTTTTCTTTTTGCTTATGTGGTGCTGAGGAATCGAACCCAGGACCTCAGGCATGCAAGGCAAGCGCTCTACCACTGAGCCACCTTCCCAGCCCATATGCAGATAGTTTGTTTAAAAATCAATGGCTTAGCTGGGCACCAGTGGCTCATGCCTTTGATTCTAGCTTCTCAGGAGGCTGAGATCTGAGGATTATGGTTCATGCCAACCTGGCTGACTGCCCGTGAGACTCTCAACTCCAATTAACCACCAGAAAACCGGAAGTGGCGCTGTGGCTCCAAGTGGTAGAGTGCTAGCTTTGAGTGAAAAAGCTCAGGGACATTGCCCAGACCCTGAGTTTTTAAAGCCCCATGATCACTCCCCAAGACCCCCACAAAAAAGAAAAAGGCTGGTGGGGTTGTACAACAATGCATTTTTCTAAAATAGAATGGTACACCTAAAACTATAAATTCATGGGGATTTTCTCTCTGATGCTGGGGATTAAATCCAGAAGCCTCTATAAATTAAGCAGGTTTTTCCATTTTCCAGCCTAGTATTGTACAGAAATAAAAGTCTAATAAAAATAAGGTATAAAGCTAAGTGTGATGGCTTACATCTGTAACTCTAGCTACATGGTGGCAGAGATATGTGGATCAAGATTTGAGGACAGCATAGGGAAAAAATCAGTGAGACTCTTCCTCAAAGGAAAACCAGACGTGTTGGTAGATCCCCGTAATCCTAGTATTGGAGGAGTTCTGAGTATAACTAAGAGTAATTTTTTTTTGGAGTATAACTAGAGTAGTTTTGAATATGACTAAGGAAGAAAAAGCATAAAAACCAAAGAAAAAAACAATTAGCATTTAAAGTAAATGAAAATAAGCTTTTAAATTATAAATCAGAAGTGAACTCTAATCATTAAAAATGAAACAAAGGAATATAATATTGACATGATGTTCTTAAGGTGCTGGGGCTCAAACTCAAGGTTTGTACATGCTAGACTGGTACTCTAACCACTGAGCTACATCCCTAGCCTCCCCATTTTTTTTCCCTCTGTTAAGAGACTTTCCAAGTAATATTTTTCCTTCTAGTTTATTTTTAGAGCAGTAGGTTGACCGACTTTGAGATGACTATTGGTTATTTCTAAATTTTCCTATGTGTGACATTTTTCTTTTCACTGTTGATCACCTTGATTGCCTTAGAATTCTTCTTGGCCCATATTACAGTGTCGTCCTCCATTTTGTCTAGTGTCTATTTGCCTTCTGTATCTTTTTCTGTCCTCCTTATTCTAAATACTTGGGAAATCTTTTCCTTTCCTGTTAATATGTTTGGATAGCATTTTCTGAAACCCTAAAATGTAAAAACATGACTGGGAAAGGCAGTGTGCACTTGCCACGCCAAGCTATGGGGGAAGCAAAACAGCTGGGCATAGTGATGTGGCCTGTTATCTCAGGGACAAGTTATGCATAAATAGGAACAGTGCAGTCCAGCCTGGCGTACATAAAGTGAGACCCATCTCAAAAATAACATAAAAAGTAATAGAGTACCCACTTAGTGAGCATGAGATTCTAAGTTCAAACCCCTGTACAAAAACAAAAACATGGCTTTTTACTGCCTACTCAGAGTTGACCTTTTGCATAGATGATATGCTTTCTTACATTCACAAGGTTTTAGAAAATTCTACAAGTGTATGGGTATGGCTTGAGTTTTTAAGAAACCTGAGTTTTGGCTGTTTACAACATTTGAGATAGAATTTTTGCTTTCTTTATAACAAAATGGCCTATAGATTATGAGATATTATTTTGTTATTTTAGTGGTAGTACGTGTGTGTCCCTGAGAAAACTGAAATATTGAATACTTTTGGTTTAGTCTTATGGATGAATGTACATTTAAAAAATAATAAACTTGAATTAGGAAACAGTATCAAGGATATCTTTTAATCTTAGGACCAACACTTCTTCAAAGAATTGATGGCCAAACAAGGAACTGGTGGCTCATGCATCTATCTCAGGAAACTGAGATCTGAGGATCATGGTTCGAAACCAGCTTGGGCAGGAAAGTCTGTGATATTCTTATCTCCAGTTAACCACCAAAAAGCTGGAAGTGGAGCTAAGGCTCAAGTGGTAGAGCACCAGCCTTGAGTGAAAGCCATATAAGAGCTCAAAGTCCAGAGAAATAATGAAGATCTTAAGAGCTTTTGTTTATATGTGTATTGTGTAAGTTTATTAGAAAGTAAAACTTAAAGATTAAAAAAATACTGTTTCATTTAAAATAGCAAAGATAAGCTATCTATCACATGTTAAGTACATTAGAAAAAAATTCCCCAAACAAAATTATGAGAAAAGTAGTATTCCATTATATACTTGTAAAGTATGTGGAAAGCAGCCAGGCCATGCTGGGGATTAAACCTAGGGCCTTGTGCAAAATAAGCATGTACTTTTATCAAGTCACTGAACTACATACCAGCCTTGGTTAATTAGTATAAGACATCTGAAGTCTTTTATCTGATTCTACATTTCATATATTGCAATAATTTATTTTGATTGAAATGTACAAAGAAAACTCTGGCTTTACAGATATGTATAGTTGGTAAAGGGAGGAATGCTTTCATAAAAGCCTTTTCAGATAATTGTCAGGCTTTGATGTTCCAAATTCAACTAATTATTACAGTGTAGGGTAAGAAATCATAGTCACCTGGGTACTGGTGGCTCACGCCTGTAATCCTAGCTACTCAGGAGGCTGAGATCTGAGGATTGCAGTTCAAAGCCAGCCAGGGCAGGAAAGTAGGTGAGACTTATCTCAAATAAACCACTAGAAAACCGGAAGTGGTGTTGTGGTTCAAGTGGTAGAGAGCTTGCCTTCAGCTGAAGAGCTCACGGACGGTGCCTACGCCCAGAGTTCAAGCCCCACGACGGACCAAAAAAAATTCGTATTTATAAGTTTATATTGTTCTTGCACATTTTAAAATATAGCATTGTGTACTAATGACTTGAAAAAATACCAGCTCCAAAATGGTATCTCCTCCAAAAAATACAACTTTTTTTTAAAAAAAAACCCATTCTATCTCATCAGAGAAATCTTTAATGTGAAGCTGTCAAACTCACAAGTTCCAAATACATTTTTCAAAATTTTAATTTTTATCTAAAAACTCTTATTTTTCCATTGCCACAAAACACTTATTTTTCTTGAAGTAACAAGATCATTTTATTCAAGGAAATGCCTGCCAGATACCTGAATCTGTATAGTTTGTCATTTGTTCTTTCAAGTAAAAGTGGCACCTGTGGCTCATGCCTGTAATCCTAGCTACTCAGGAGGCTGAGATCTGAGGATTGTGCGATTCAAAGCCAGCCCAGGCAGAAAGGTCTGTAAGACGCATCTCCAATAAACTACTTAGAAAACTGGAAGTGTCCCTGTAACTCATGTGGTAGAGCACTAGCCTTGAGCTGCAGATCTGAGGGACAGTTCTCAGGCCCAGAGTTCAAGCCCTATGACAACTACCACCACCACTAAAAATCCCAGCTAGCTTATGTTGCAAATCATTCACATAAATGCTTCTCTTTCAGACAACTGCTAGAATATAGAATTGTTTTTATGTGTACTTCTTGTCACAATGTTATAAAGGTGTGTGTGTATATGACAGTTGATAGTTAACCAAAATAATTTTTGTTGCTGGGTACTATTGGTTCATCCCTGTAATCCTAGCTACTGAGGAGGCTGAGACCTGGAGGATGGAGGTTCCAAGCCAGCTGGGCAGAAAAGTCTTCAAGATTCCATTTCCAATTTACCACCTGGTAGACTGGAGGTGTAACTCCAGTGGTAGACTGCCAGCCTTGAGTAAGAATGCTGAGGATGAGGCCCTGAATTCAGGTCTAGTAACAGGACAAAATAGTAATAATAATTACTATTACTGCTGCTTCATGAAGTTCTTTCCTTTTTCTTTTTTTTTTGTCGGTTGTGGGGCCTGAACTCTAGGCCTAGGCACTGTCCCTCAGCTCTTCAGCTCAAGGCTGGAGCACTCTGCCGCTTGAGCCATAGTTTCCTTCCAGCCAGGCTGGCTTTGAACCAAAATCCTTAGATCTCAGTATCTGAGGATTTATAGGCATGAGTCACCAGAGCCCCACATCAAGAAAACTTCTCAATGATACTGGCCTATACCCTATCCCACTTGGTATTTGTGCTGTTTTGAGAATGTAATGACTAATGATAGAATTTGGTGTTGCTTAATTGCTTTGCTTGAGTCCTATTAAATCTGCAGTGTCTACCTACCATTACTTTTATACTGTCAGTGCTTGGTATCGTGTTGCAAAATATAAAAATAGTTTTGACCTCATGAATTCTCTGAGAGAGGGATTCATAACATTTTGAGAACTGATAGTGTCAATGATTAATAGGATGGCTTTGATTGCTACTGGTATTTGAAAATAAAAAATCTTTATTTCATTCTCTAGGTAAAACTGAATTGCAACTCTTGAGCTTTTAACATGATTTTAGTAATTGTGGTCTTGCCTTTGAAATTTAAAAAAATGTTAACTATAAGTTTGTATGATAATGCATTCTTTTTTAAAATACATTTTTGAATTTATATTTTTGGGCTTTTAAATAGCATACCATTTAATATTTGGGCTCAAAGTGAAGGAGCTCATTCTGTTACAGACACTGGGTAGCTTTGTTTCTGATAGCTAGTAGTCAACTGTGTTTTTAAATCAATTGTTGGGTCTTGCTGGCTCAACTTCCAAGTTGTCCTAGTCCTAACCCTGTTTTAGCCAAAGACTGTTGTTGGAAAGAACACACAAAGGCCTTGTGTCCTTGGTGCCCTACTAACAAGGAGCATGTTCTCATTCTAGTGGATTAAATCTGCTGTGGTGTGCATTCCCTTTCCAAATTTCGTTCTTCCTTTGGCTGGTTATTTCAGTAACAGATCATTTTAATGTGATATAGCTTTTTCTAATTACATAGTCCTAGAGAGAATTACTAGAATAAGCTTTTTCCAGTTATTACATTGTCCTAGTGGAAGGGATTACCAGAGTAAAATAAAATGTTTCTTTCTCTGTGGTAGGATGTGATGGAGCTGCTTGAAGAAGATCTCACCTGCCCAATTTGTTGCAGTCTGTTTGATGATCCTAGAGTTTTGCCTTGCTCACACAACTTCTGCAAAAAATGCTTGGAAGGTCTCTTAGAGGGAAATGTGCGCAATTCTCTGTGGAGACCATCTCCATTCAAGTGCCCTACATGCCGTAAGGAAACTTCAGCTACTGGAGTCAATAGTTTACAAGTCAATTACTCCCTGAAGGGTATTGTGGAAAAGTATAACAAAATCAAGATCTCTCCCAAAATGCCAGTGTGCAAAGGACACTTGGGCCAGCCTCTCAATATTTTCTGCTTAACTGATATGCAGCTGATTTGTGGGATCTGTGCTACTCGGGGTGACCACACCAAACATGTCTTCTGTTCTATTGAAGATGCCTATACTCAGGAAAGGGATGCCTTTGAGTCCCTCTTTCAGAGTTTTGAGACCTGGCGTCGGGGAGATGCTCTTTCTCGCTTAGATACCTTAGAAACTAGCAAGAGGAAATCCCTACAGTTACTGACTAAAGATTCAGATAAAGTGAAGGAATTTTTTGAGAAGTTACAACATACTTTGGATCAAAAGAAGAATGAAATCCTGTCTGACTTTGAGACCATGAAGCTTGCAGTCATGCAAGCCTACGATCCAGAGATCAACAAACTCAATACCATTTTGCAGGAGCAACGAATGGCATTTAACATTGCCGAGGCTTTCAAGGACGTGTCAGAACCGATTATATTTCTGCAGCAGATGCAGGAGTTCAGGGAGAAAATCAAAGTAATCAAGGAAACTCCTTTGCCTCCCTCTAATTTGCCCTCAAGCCCTTTAATGAAGAATTTTGATACTAGTCAGTGGGAGGACATAAAACTAATAGATGTGGATAAACTTTCTTTACCCCAAGACACTAGCACATTCATTAGCAAGATTCCCTGGAGCTTCTACCAGCTATTTATGGTAGTCCTTCTGCTTGGCCTTATTTTTTTCTGTCCTACCTTATTCCTAGAATGGTCTTTATTTGATGAATTGGCAAGGTGGAAGGACCATTTTTCAAACTTCAGTTATTATCTAACTAAATCAGCTGGTTTTATAGAACAATCAGTTTTTTACTGGGAACAAGTGGCAGACATGTTTTTCATTTTCAGTGAAAGAGTTAAGAATTTTACTTTGGTGGTACTGAACAATGTGGCAGAATTTGTGTGCAAATATAAACTATTATAAAATCTCTTTAGCTCTGCAGTTTTTTTTTCATAAAAAAAACGGATAGAAATTGATATAAGGGTAGTAACTCAGATTTAGTCAAGATTCCAGTCATTTTCTTCCAAAAGTTTTTCTGTTTAAAGTAATGTGTATACATGTTCAAATTTGGTAAAAATAAAGATAAAAGTGAAGTTTTCATGTGGTGGAGTACTTGTTTAACAATCACAAGCCCAAGTTGAGCCCCTACTGTTACCACCTGAAGGGTTGGAAGGAGAGAGGATGAATAGGTTGGGTTTCCAAGTTTTTCTAGAGGGCTGATTCCTTTCTCACCAAAATGTAAATTTTATGTGAAGAAAAACTGGTTAATGACACAAAGCATTTTTAGGAAGATGGATATTCTGTCAGTTTTTCACCAAAAATGACATGCTATTAGGTGACTGTGCAAAAATGTTGTTTTTGTTGGTTAGTTTTTATGGTTGTACTAAGGTTTTAACTTAGAACCCTGTGCTTGCTAAAAAGTGCTTTGCCACTTGAGCTATATACCCTAACCCCAAAACATAAGTTTAACAAAAAGATTGCAGTCATCTTTTTTTTTTCCCACTGGCAGCGGAGTGTTGTGGTTTTAAGTATGAAGCAAGTGTCCAATCTACTTACTCTACTTGCTTATAGAATTTGAGCCCATAATCCTAGCTACTTGGGAGGCTAAAATAGGGAAGCTTGCAGTTTGAGGCCAGCCTGGGCAGAAAAGGTGGTGAGATTCTTTCTCAACTTATAGCTGGGCTCCCTGATGTGTACTTGTAATCCCAGAAAATTAAGACCCTGTCTTATATTAACAAACAGCCAGGTGCTGGTGGCTCACACCTGTAATCTTAAGATCTAAGGATTGAGGTTCAAAGCCAGCATGGGCAGGAAAGTCCATGAGACTCTAATAAACCACTCAGAAAACAGGAAGTGGCGCTATGGCTCAAGTGGTAGAGTGCTTGCCTTGAGCTGAAGAGCTGAGGGACAGTGCCCAGGCCCAGAGTAAAAGCCCCACAACTGACTAAAAAAAGTAAATAAAAATAAAAATAACGAACAAATAGATCTGGAGCCATGGCTTGAGTGGTAGAGCCATATCTAGCAATTTCAAGGTCCTGAGTTCTAACTTCATACTGTCCTCCCCCAAAAGACTTAACCATAAATGAAACTATTTGCTGTTATAAACTATAAAGTAAACAGCTGAACACTGATGATGATTAAAGATTCCCATAGAACAAAAATAATTTTTGTGCCTGGAATTTAGAAAATAAAGATGTAATCTTACCTTGGAACTGCTATTTAGTCTTCTTTATTTCTGTCATGGGAAAAAAAAAATTCCTGTGAAAGTCCATTAAATGGGATAGAATTCAGAGAAGAGTGTCTACCTTATTTCTTTAGTTTGATTGAGAGGTAAGAAGGAACAAAAAAATGGCAACCAAATTTTTTTGAGTGATAGTACTGAGGCTTGACTTTGTTCAGGTCCTGGTACTCTTGTTTAGCTATTTTGTTCAAGGCTGGTGTTTAACTCCTGGCTAGCATTTTACTACTTAAGCCATGCCTCCACTTCTGGCTTTTTCTGGAGATAAAAGTCTCAATTTGTTGCTACAAATGGGGATTACTGGATTACCGGTTGTGAGCCACCGTGCCATCTTGGAAGTAACTACTTTTTATATTACTGAAGAAATTCAGTTATGAGAAAAGTCAAAATTCTGGGTGAGGTAATTACCACCTCACTCCCAACAGAATTGTAATTTAACCACTATATTGCCTAAGGGCATCATAAGAAATTCAGACAATTGTTTCCTTATACATTTTACCTCTGTCTTGGGGGGGGGGGGCGTTTCATGAGAAATAAGAAGGTCTGAGGAAGAGTAATGCTTGGTAAATTTTTGTTTCACATATAGATTATACCATGGTTCCATACACTTCCATCCTAAGAGTGTAGTTTTGTTTTTTTCTTTAATGGAATAAAGGCAAGGGATATTTCTGACATCAGTCCTGATCTATTGTCATTTTTCCCCTGGAACTATTGTTTCATCTGTTGGATTTTCCATTTTGTATACTGCAAAAATTCCTAAGCAACTCAAATTTGCAAACACAACTATGGATACACTATCTTAGGATAGTTACCTAGGACTCTGGCTCTCTGGGTTTTGTTATTCTCCCCTCCTCTCTTTCTTAGTCACATATAACTAACAACATTGCTGCTAATAGGTTGATTTATGAGTTATCCATAGTTTGTGGATGATGGTGTGTAGCCTCTAGTTTGAAGCAAGAGAAGAATGAGTAGTCAGGAACTGGTCACTTTGAGCATGGGAGGGAAGATATTCACAACAAGACTTTCTGCCATAAAGCAATTTCCTGCCTCTTGATTGGCCCGAATGTTAGATGGCAGAGACCAAGAATTCAGCATGGTTGGTGGCCAAATTTTTGTTGACAGAGATGGTGTTCTATTTAGTTTCATCTTAGAGTTTTTGAGAAGTCGCCAGCTTTTATTACTCTCTGACTTTTCAGACTATAGTAGACTTCAGAGAGAGGCTCTTTTCTATGAACTTGATTCTCTGGTTGATCTCTTAAATAAACCAGCATCTGCTACAAGAAAGACCTGTTCTCCTGAAGGTACATTTTTTAAACCAAAATTCTCAAGCTTTTTTCAGAGTGTTTGGCTCCTGCAGCAAAGCAATTGAGATGCTAACTAGAAGGATTAGTGTTCACAGAACAACCTTCAGCACCTACTTGGAGTAGTACCTCTTTCTCTGCTCAGATGACCTTCCTTTCACTACCTCCACAAAGACCTTATCATGACCTGGTTTTCCAATGTGGCTCTGACAACACTGATAAGCAAACCGGAATCAGGTATTAGTTCCTTATGCCTAAAACTTTCCTTGGAAGAAATGCTTTCTTGATCATTGGAGTAATCAGTAGAGTTCAGTAGAAATTTTTTTTTTTCTAAATCTGGACAACACTGCTGAGAGTACTGATGGGATGTGGGACAGTAGGAGTAAACCAAGACTATAGTCTTGCAAATTAAAAAAGGAAATAGTTTAATATTTAGATTATATTCCATTGCTAGTGAATTTGGCTTGGAAGTGAATCCCCTTATATTCTCAGTAGATTATTTTATGCTTCCATATTGGAAAGGTTCGTTTCACCTGATTTCCTTACACAGCGTTTGTTCTTTCAGTACTTTGATTTTGGTTTTTATTCAGTGGAGAAGGTGAAATATCATTAAATACCTTTGTCTCATGGAGAATTTGATGTCCTGTTAATACTGTGGCTTTTTTTTTTTTTTTTTGGTCGGTCATGGGGCTTGAAGCCTGGGCACTGTCCCTCAGCTCTTCAGCTCAAGGCGAGCGCTCTACCACTTGAGCTACAGCGCCACTTCTGGTTTTCTGGTGGTTTATTGGAGATAGGAGTCTCACGGTCTCTCCTGCCCGGGCTGGCTTTGAACCGCGATCCTCAGATCTCAGCCTCCTGAGTAGCTAGGATTACAGGCGTGAGCCACCAGCGCCCAGCTACTGTGGCTTTTATACTAAATGGGCTCTCAGAATATTAAGGACTGCTCCTGAATTGTTTCTTCTTCGGTTCTTGACTGTATCCCAAGGCTGATTTCTACCATATAGTTGGAGACATGCTACCTTAAAAATGTCTTAATAATTTTTATTAAATGTGAAAGCAAGTATTAATTTTTAAGAGGAAAAAAGAGCATGTATTTGTTTTTAAACAGCATTTAAAACCTTTAAAAAAAGGTAGACAGGGTACTTTCTTAACTTCAGCAGTAGCCATCAGGAAGGGATACCACTGTTTATTTCTCCCATAACATAGTCACTGATCTTGGCTTACCAACTGGAGAACACTGGGCAGTATAATTGAGTATGACAATATTTCAGTACTGAGGCTTGAACTACAGACTGTGCTCTTTGTGAGCTTATTCCCTTCTTGGCTGGTACATTACCAGCTGTTTAGCTGGAGATAAGAGTCTCATGGATTTTTCTGCTTAGGTCAGCTTTGAACCAATACCCTCACATCTCAGCCTCCTGAGTAATGTACTGGTGCTTGGCAACCTTACTTAAAGATTTTATACCTTATAGTTTCCTGCCCTTTCAAACCAGTTGAAGGCTGGGGGCTTAGTTCAAGTGGTAGAGTGCTTACCTGGTAAGCACAAGGCTATAAGTTCAAACCCTAGTATGAACAAAACAAAACTGAAGAAAACCAAATAGGTTATGAAGAAAATCTAAGAACTTAGTTTTTTTTTTTTTGCCTGTCATGGGGCTTGAACTCAGTGCCTGGGCATTGTCTCTGAGCTTCTTTGGCTCAAGGCTAGTACTCTACTACTTGAGCCACAGTGCCACTTCCGGCTTTTTTTCTATTTATGTGATACTGGGCTCCATGCATGCTAGACAAGCATTCTACCACTAAGTCACATTCCCAGCCCTAAGAACTTACTTTTATTAAACTATTTTATTGTGCACAGCTTTTTATTGGTGGAATACTTACATGAGAAAAATGTTAAGAGACATAAGGAAAACGGTGTTAAGAAAGTTCCCAAAGAAACAGGCTAGGTTAAAAAGGAAGTTTGAAATGCTTTTTAAAAACTGTTCATTTGAAGAAAGTAATTATAATCTTAAAACAATTAGAACTGAAACTAGACTATTCTTGTTGATACATATTGCCAAATAGTTCCTACCTTTTAAAACTATATTTTCGAAATAGCACAGATTTTTTTTTTTAAACATCTTAGTATTTCAACTGGGCGCTGGTGGCTCACACCTGTAATCCTACCTTCTCAGGAGGCTGAGATCTGAGGATTGCGGTTCAAAGCCAGCCCAGGCAGGAAAGTCCATGAGACTTTTTTTTGGGGGGGGGCCTGAACTCTGGGCCTGGGCGCTGTCCTTCAGCTCTTCAGCTCAAGGCTAGCGCTCTACCACTTGAGCCACAGCGCCACTTCTGGGTTTTTTCTTTTTGCTTATGTGGTGCTGAGGAATCAAACCCAGGGCCTCATGCATGCAAGGCAAGTGCTTTACCACTGAGCCACCTTCCCAGCCCCATGAGACTCTTATCCAATAAACCACTAGAAAACTAGAAGTGGCAGCTCAAGCGGTAGAGCACTAGCCTTGAGCTTAAGAGCGCAAGGACAGTGCCCAAGCCCAGAGTTCAAGCCCCACGACTGACAAAAATAAATAAATATAGTATATTATTTAAGCTTAAACAATAGTTTAAATATACTTAAATATTCATGTCAACATTTTGGGGGTATTTTCAGTTGTTTAAATGACAGACTTTGCCTGGTGCTGGTGGCTCACACCTGTAAGCCTAGCTGGTCAGGAAACTGAGATCTGAGGGTTGAGGTTTGAAGCCAGCCCAGGCAATTAAGTCCATGAGAATTTTCTCTCCTTTTAACCCACCAGAAAATGGGAAGTAGAGCTGTGACGCAAAGTATTAGAGCAGTAGCCATGAGCAAAAAGGTCGGGGACAATGTCCAGATTGAGTTCAAGCCCCATGACTAACCAAAAACAAAACAAGATGAAAAAAAAGGTTCATAATTTTTTTTCTCTCCTGTGTGTTTCTTTTTTTGAAATGTCAGTTTCAAAGTAGAGATAAAGTCATATGGAAATCTGTGGTGACTGGGTGAAAACTCTGACCCTAAAAGGCCCACGTTTGTGTATATAACTGCATAAAGAACAATTATTTTTACTTTTTGCTCACTTCTTGGTTTGAATTTATCCAGATATTTTTGAAAGGTAGAAAAATGGAAGAATAAGCCTTCTACTGTTAGAGTGGTGTGTCATGTAACTTTTTTTTTGGTCAGTTGTAGGGCTTGAACTCTGGATCTGAGTGTTGTTCCTCAGCTCTTCAGCTCAAGGCTAGTGCTCTACCACTTGAGCCACAGTGGCACTTCCGGTTTTCTGGTGGTTTATTGGAGATAAGAGTCTCACAGCCTTTCCTGCCTGGGCTGGCTTTGAACCCCAATCCTCAGATCTCAGCCTCCTGAGTAGCTAGGATTACAGGCATGAGCCACTGATGCCTGGCTGGCATATAATTCTTGAACTTCAATAATTTATAAAGTGATTTTGGAAAGTCTACAAAGATTTTCTGAAAAGAAAGAGCTAAATTTTATTCTTGAATTTAATGTATGATTATAAAGAGTTCTTAGTTTATGGTAAAGTTGGAACTTTTTCTCTTGAAATCAGGAACCTGAAGTAGTATAGTATTGTATAGTATAGAATTAGTATAGAATAGTATAGAATTAGAATTTATTTTTTTGTATACCATTTACATCTGACAAATTTCAGCATTGTTCTAAAAGCTTTTGTGCAAATTTTCTATTACAATAAGAAATAGTTCCAGTATTAGAAATGTATCACTAGAGTCTGTGCTACAATAATAAGATTTACCAGAAGTATTTTTGTGCTGAAAAAGTTGATTGTAACATCAAGTTCAGTAAAGTACATGCTGCTAAGAGGGAAGTTTCACAAAGAAATTTAGGAAATTTAGGGGCTGGGAAGTTGGCTCAGTGATAGAGCACTTGCCTTGCATTCCTGAGGCCCTGGGTTCGATTCCTCAGCACCACATAAGCAAAAAGAAAAAAGCTGGAAGTGGCGCTGTGGCTCAAGTGGTAGGGCACTAGCCTTGAGCTGAAGAGCTGAGGGACAGTGCTCAGGCCCAGAGTTCAGGCCCCATAACCGGACCAAAAAAAAAAAATTTAGGAAATTTATTACCTTTCTACAGTGTGTGTGTGTGTGTGTGTGTG